AATGTACTACTGATGCGATATTTGACTTAATCATTGATTTGTATGATAATCTTGACGAAATAGGAGATCAGCTATGCATCTTCTATGACATGACTAAGGCGTTTGACCTTCTTTCACATGAGATACTGTTAAATAAATTAATCAAAATTGGTATCAAAGGCAAGCCATTACAATGGATCTCTACATATCTCAAAGACAGGAAACAAGTAGTCAATGTTAGACATTCAAGTCAAGACGGGCTATGTCGCCACTACCGTTCAACTCTATCACCTAATATTAATACCGGGGTTCCTCAAGGATCGAACTTAGGCCCTGTCCTATTCCTCCTCTACGTCAACGACCTGCCTGATTCAATAACGACAGGAAAAACCTGGTTGTTTGCTGATGATGTTTGCCATCTTGTAAGAGGTAGTGATGCTCGATCCTTAAGAATCAACGCCCAAGAAGGGCTTAACGAAATGAGTAGTTGGTGTAACGACAATAAACTGTTACTGAATAGAAGTAAAACAAAGGCTCTTCAGATACTTCTCCTAAAAAAAAGAATAATGAGATCTATTTTCTTGGAACCATTTCTCGCACACTGTAAGCCACTGTTTGAAGAAGCCAAGGTCCTTACCATGACAGCACTTTTTATCCTGGAGTCAGCACTGAGTGTAAAGAAGAACCCACAACTGTTCCTAATAAATGCAGCATTCCACAACTACAACACAAGGCAATGCAAAAATGTCCACCTAACCCAAGTAAACTCCACTTTAGTAGCAAATGGCCCTAAATTTATGTGCTCCAAAATCTATAACAAGATCCCAACTGAAATAAAAAATATTGAAGAAATAGAAAAATTCAAGATGTTATTCAAGAATTATTTATTGAAGAGGCCATACTACTCACTGACAGAGTACTTTGAAGATAAATGAAAAGGCCAATATTTTTTGACGACCACGGCGCAGTGACGCTTCCAGTGGGAAATCTTCAAGAAAAACAAGAAAACAAGAAAAACTACTTCCCCTATAGATTCATTAAAAAAGAACACGATTTTGAGCCCATGTACTTTTTTAATACTTTTAATTGAAATGGCGACCATACAAAGTAGGTATTTGAAGCAAAGTATGAATGGAGATGAGTGTAGAATGAGTGGCGTGATCTTGTAATCAACAAATCAAGTTTTTTATTGGCGTTGAATAATCACTGATTACATTTACTTTACAGTATTGGAGATAAGTGAATGCAGATACACTATTCAATCACGGCCACCTTTAGCTCCGGAGTTAAAGGTGGCCGTGATTCAATACAGTACTGCACGTTTAACACGGGTTTTATTAGAGTTTTTGGTTAATTAATAGAAAACTACCAAAGATAGACGGTGGGTTTAAATTTAAAAGTTTTTAGTTTTTGCAAGACCTTCAAAATGATACGCCATTTGACATATGTTGCCATTTAAAAGCCCCCAAAAAGAAATATTTGGATAAGTGTGTCTTGAAGTTGAAGGAGCTAAAAAGATATACAATCCTGCCTTAGTGTCAGAAATATTTAATACATTTTTTTTTTCAGACGTAACAAAACAGACAAATTACAGAGCCGCAAATACTAAAGCTTTTAGTCAAAACATTAACCAGAAATCATTGTTCTTATTCCCAACAGTAGATTCCGAAGTAAAACAAATAAATCATCAGTTAAAAAACTAGATAAGCTCAGGAGCTGATGAAATACCGTCAACGATTTTAAGAGAGTGTTCAGACTTCATCGTTAATCCTCTAACCCATCTCAAACCACTCTTTTCTGCATGGACAATTTCCCAATGCACTCAAACTTGCAGTTGTAAGGCCAATTCTCAAAAGGGGTGACCATACGAAGTGTGATAATTATAGGCTCAGCTCTATGCTTTCAAGTTTGTCCAAGATATATGAAAAGGCTGTTTTAGAGAGGCTCTGGGCCCTGTGCATTTTCCGAAAAGAATAATATAATATTCAAAGATCAACATGGATTTGTCAAAAGCAAAAATACTACAAGTGCAATATTTTCCTTATTGAACCAAGTGGTGCAAGATTTGGATGCAAAGCAACGCTCAATGGGTATTTTCTTTGATTTGAGTAAGGCGTTTGACATGGTTGACTGTGACCTCCTACTAGCTAAATTAAACAACATAGGAGTCCGAGGAGTTGCACCAGAGTGGTTTTCGTCATTTTTAAAAGGCAATGTTTCGAAATACAATCCATAGATCACACCGGGCTACAAAGTAGATTTAAGTCTTCAGAAATTCCTGTAACGAGAGGTGTGCCTCAGGGATCCGTTCTTGGCCCTGTGCTATTCCTCCTCTTCATAAATGACCTCCCCTCATGCATAACACAAGCTAAACTGTGCCTTTTTGCAGATGATACTTCCCTAGCCTTATCCAGCCCCTCCCTAGAGTCACTCGAGCAAATGGCATTCATAGAGGCAAATACCTTGCTTCAGTGGTTTGATGACAACCTTCTGAAAACTAACACTGCAAAGACCGAGCTGATTAACTTTTCGAGTCTCAAACAGATCCCACAAAGATCTGAATCTGTCACTTCTTCTTGATCAAACCTTCATTCATCCTGTACAGTCTGTTAAATTCTTAGGCATCCATTTAGACAAATGTTTAAACTTCAAATCTAATGTTGATTACGTGATAAAACGTGTAAGTATAGGCATTTTTGTACTACGAACATTGGCCACAACAGTCTCGTCAGAAAGTTTTCTTCTTTCTGTTTATTACGGCTTAATATTTCCATATCTAGTTTATGCTCTGCCTGTTTGGGGATATGAAAATAATCATACCTCCTTTCTTTTTAAAATGCAAAAAAAGGCTATTCGTGTTATATTTTCTCTTTTCAGAAGACGATCTTGTAAGGAATCATTCAGGTCAGCTGCAATTTTGACTCTTCCCTCACTATACATCCTTGAGACCCTTTCATTTGTAAAAAAACATTAGTCATTATTTACCACCAACATTAACTCCAGTACATATAACCTTGGGGGAGTATGTTTTATCTATGATATAGCTTACGCACATCATACAACTTAAACATTCCCGTCCATTCAACTTCATTTTTCCAACATCATCTTCTGTCCCAATAGAATTAAACTTTTTAACCAACTTCCTCAACATCTAAAGCTGGAGACTGATTTGCTCAGGTTTAGGAGAAAACTTAAACAAATTTTGGTTGAAAATGCTTGCTACAGAGTCCACGATTTTTCCACTGTCATGTAGTCAGTGATTTCTGTCCTGTTATTTACTAGAAGGTCAAATTGTTTAGTTAGTAAAGTTTTTTTATATTTTATATTTTTTACATTTAATTATAAACTTGACTATTCCAATGCAATGTAATTTTGTAATTCTGGAATAAAGAACTTATGACTTATTTAACATTTTTCACTTACAAATTGTACCAGCATAAAAAAATCATTGAACAATATTTTGTTTTTAAAATGTCGAAATGTCACAGATAAAATTAAAGCTGAACTCACGAGGATTACGAATTTTAAATCAGAACGAAAATGAGTTTAGTGGTTTCCATGATACAGGGTATTCTGAAAATATCAATATTTTCCATACAAATGGTCGCCATTTTGAAATTTATGAAGATAGAGGAGTTCTATTTTTACTAGTTTTGTATAGTCTAGATGAGCTTTGATGCATAACATGACATATGTTTACATTTTAAAACTCCGAGTTTCGAACCCATGACTCCTGTTTCTCAAATACCCTGTAGGCCTATTTTAAAAATGGTACAAATATTTTTACGTTGTTCCTTGGATATGAATTAGTGGGGATGAATATTTTCTATTTTCTACCTTATTTATTGTTGCTGACTAAGTTCAAGTTGATAGGCCATAACAGGGGTCTGACTTAGGGGAGGTACAAATGAGGCATTTAGTTCAAAATTCCTCCGTGAACAGCGCTGTAGTAAAGAGCACTTTGGCAATGAAGGTTTACTAATCGCAAAAATAGTTCTGTTCATAAAATAAAATTATAAATGCCTAAAATTCTATTTTATTAATTTTTAATTATAAAATGAAACTATCATAACCTAACCGAACTAACCAAACTTGCTGATAAAGAAATAATATAACAAAAGTTTATAGTAATCGGAGAAATAATTCTGTTTATAAAATAAAACTAGAAATTGCTCAATTAAAATTTTATAATGACTTAATAATAAAATTAAACTGTAATAACCAAACCAAACCAACCAAACTTGCTGAAAATGAAAAAATCTTGGACAAAAAGTTAATGCCACCGGCGGGATTCGAACCCGGGACCTACAGTATATCAGCCCGGCACGCTAACCATTAGACCACCAAAGCCGATGGCTATCAACCGTTTTGTTACGGTAATGGCATTCCCTCAGCTAATAAGAAGCCCACAGCTGTCATCGTAGCCTCTTCTATACCTCCCCTGAGTAAATACCGCCTTAACAGTTGCTATACAGCTAACAATAAGTCATTCCATTAGTTTTACTATGGTTTGCAAAAACGTTTGTATATTCAAAAAAATTAAATTTAGATTTGTGCAATCTGTCGTTTTAACATCAACTAAGACTGTTGATTTAAAAACTGGTGACAACTTTAACATAGGGATGGAATGTCTCAATGTCTAGTTGTATCAATAATCAAAGCAATTGTTTGTTAAACCATAGATAAAACATACTCCTGTTAAACCAAGTCCAATGATCAACAAAGCTGAGCTTTCTAAAAGGATTTTCTAAGGGTTGGACAGGTGACCATCTTGCCGTATAAGTAGACTTTAGATCAATGTGATAATATTAAATAATCCTTCAGCTATCTCAGCTCTTGAATGGCCACTTATAAAAATAAATAGCATTACACTTTAATTTTGGTATGATTCAAGCAAAATTTGGTCTAAACGTTTATTTTCCTTTGTCATGTTGGTAGTTGGTATTGCCTTGCCTTATCAGCTGACATACTGAGGCTGACTGCATTGACTGCAATAAATTATTTCAGAATCAAATCTTTTATACAATTTTGGTCGTCGCCCGGTCCTTTTGTGTCTTGTCTTCCTCAGGCAGAGGCGTTTCCCTGTATTATGTGAGTACTTTAAAACATAGATCAATACCTCTTTATCGCACTACAAAATTATAATTCATACTATTTCAAAAATATTTAATTTGCAAGCTTTAGGCGTTGTTGATTCAAATTCTAACCTAGACAATTTACTGCTATTTTCTTATCAACTTTCATTTCATAATTTTTTGCCGGTTTCAATATCTAAAACAAGCTTTCAGAACCTTGAAAGTATTATTGATTTGTTGAAGAAATATTCATTTTTCGCCTAAGGTGGCTGGACTAACTTAGGCCTATATGATTCAGCCTTTCTGTCTAGAGTTAAGATTTGGACAATTTTTCAACAACCTTAAGTTAAGTCATTCCAAGTTGTGATAGTTGTATTCTCACGTTTATCGTTTATCGGTAAAACTTTTGTAGCGGTAAAACATTTCTAAACCAGGGTATTCATTACCCGTGTGTTGGAAAATGCTGTAGGTTGTAAGAGTCATGTTTCATCAGCTCTTAGGGATGTTGTGATAACTTAAGCCTACCATCAATCTTCCGATACATGGCATCGATACCGTATCGGGGCTGCAGTATCGACACCACATGAATATCGCAACAAAGGTATTGATACAAAGTACAAGCTAAGTATTAACTTAAACAGGTAACTTAAAGTATCAACAAATTGATTTTTTTTCTAAATAACTTAAAATGTCATTACTTATTCTTATTCAATAACGTTTCATAATGAATGGTCATAGATCTTTGACCCTTTGGATAGTTTTAAGACTTTAAATTTTACTGAACATACCCGTAAGTTTACCCTTTATTCACAATAAGTTATACCTTTGAATATCTTGAATAACCTTTGTCACGCACAAATAAGTTCTTTTCCAGGCTAAGTTTTTTTCACTTTTAAATATATAAATGATGTGAAATAATAACACAGATAAAAAAAAACTTAATGTTGTAGGCCTACGATTTAGATTGTTTTTTTTTGTGCTAAGGAAGAGCGAAGTAATTACCGTACAATTGGCCTATGCGGTGAATTGCAAGGATTTGCTGTTGAAAATGATGGTGACTGATCTAAACTCCACTCCAAATAAGTTAGTAGGCTACTTCAGGCCTAAAAGAAAGCGTGTTTGAATTCATTAGCCTTATTGTTTAATAAACAACGTTTGAATATGTTATCCGTTTCCCATTGGGTTTTAGGCCTACAGTAGCCTAAATAATTTCATAAGTTCACCCAATCGCAAAAATAAATAACTATGGAGTGATAACAACCATGCTAGAAGTTGAAGATAGTAAAGGCATCCTTATCACGTCCTCAGCTTTGGAGGTTAGGATTGAAAAGATCATGGCCATGCATCTAAGTTCTCCACTACAGTAGACTACCTTTATCCGGACTCCTCGGGACCAAGGCCAGTTCGGATAACGGGTTTTCCGGTTAAACCGACGTCCCCAAAAACTCGTTAAAAAGGACCGTTTAAATGCATACTGTATACAGTACTTGACTTAAATTTAGGAGAGCATTGTATTCAGCCTAATCGCGTGATCACTGGTCTCAAATATTTCCCACGAGAACAGTCGTTACAGTTCCGCCCACTTCCTGCTGATCTAGTCCAGTTAAACCGATGTGCTGATAAAAACTGTCTGGTTAAAGAGATGCCATTTCTGCCGAGTCTAGTCCTACTGTATGTCTTTCTAAATATTTATGTATATTCAGTGTTTGTATTTGTATTAATTCTATCAAACCGACAAGTAAATTAATTGGATCGTAAGGTAAGCTTTAGATTATAACAATAAGTTACTGTATTTATTACAATTTTTCATACCATTGACATTGTTACATTTTAAGGCAACTTACATCATGAGTAGGTAACGTAATTTATCAAGTAAAAAGTAACAAAATCACTTTGTACAATTTATACAAACGTTTATTGACTAGGTGATCCTAACCTAATCTGATTTAGCCATCTAGAAATTAACAAAATAGATTTTCATCCCAGGTCCATGTTGCCATGTTAGTTACAAAGTTGCCTGATAACAAAAATACTGTAAAACGAGTGAAACAACAACAAATAAAAACTCAGTCCAGTTTAGTAAAAAGAAGCAAAACCTCTTTTCATCCACAGGAGTTGTAGGTTTTATCAATGATTAATCATACGACCATTTCTTTCAAGGGCCATATAGGCTAATTAATTTTATCTCAAAAACATAACTTTATCAATGAATAGGGTATTAAATTTCAAAGTTTCTGATTAGATAATTTATGTCTTTACTTATCGACTCAGGAAATGAAAATAGTTGTAGGCCAAATTTATATGTTCTTCCTCTGTTATAAAATTTAACAAGTTCAATAAAGAAGTTTTTTGATACCAAATTTACAGTCACACTTGTTTAGTCTTTGACTGACCACAAAATAGTAATGTGCCAATACGGTAGACACCCCCTCTTAACCGACCTCGTATTAACCGATAATCGGGTTATCCGCCTTCGATCGTGAAATAATTCAGTTTGTTTTAACCGACCTTGCTTTGAGAGCAGTTCGGTTTAACCGCCGCTTTCTAGGAATCTCGGCATTTCCGCTCCCACGCTGGGCGATGAGAACTGAACCATACGCTTATCTCTACAGGATATGACTAAGAATAGGTTACAGTATTTTGTATTGATCACAAAAAATATAGCATAGCCTATTGTCAGTTTCTCATCATCGTTCGTTATCGTAGCTCGAGCACATCTGATCTGATATGTTATCTGTGCGGCAAATTTATAACATCATAAAGTGCGTTACGATTTTGAGAACTGATTATCTTATAAATAAACATCCTGTCCCTTGTAACAAAATGGTTGCTTGTATCTTTAATTTCGACAAAAGGTTCTTTAGGCTACTGTATTACGATGGATTTGGAGAGCATCAATTAATACATTACAGTACTAAGCTTATTAAAATAGGAATTTTATTGACTGTTGCCTAGTACTATAATATATTCTACTGAAAGTAGGCCTATTAGACTCAACCATGTTTTGTGTTTATTTGTGACTTTTCCATTAATACGAAAAAGGAGATAAGAGTAGTTTATTTTATAAATAATGCAAGCATGACTTAAAAATATTGATTATATAATTCCAAATGAATAGCATTTTATTATGTTATGATTTTAGGGATTGCCCATTTTAACCGACCTTTTGAGTTATCCGACGTAGGTCCGGTCCCATTAGGGTCGGTTAAGAGGGGGTCTACTGTAGTCTAAAGGAGGATGAATATTTTTTAGACCGGAAAGTGTACCAGTGGCGTACTGTCATAGTTGTGGCCCTGGGGCGGCTTAGATAAGAGGGCCTTTTTTTACATCCTTACATATATATAAGTGAAAAACAAATACCATAGTACCCTGTTTAAAATCATTTTATGTTTAAAATCATTTTAAACAGGGTAGGTACCATGGTGTTTATTAAAAAGTAACCCTAAACAGTGATGAGAACTAAAAAGAAATATGCGCTTTTAATGTATTTTGTATCACCGATTAGCCTAAATGAGCTTAAACTTCCACTATTTCAAGAGTAGGCCTAACCTATTTTTTTTTTATTTCAGAAAAATTTAATGCTAAATTAAATTTTTCATTAAGCTTTAAACATTTTGTTTTTATGAGTGAGAGATTCGTAATGAGCACGAGCACATTCCTGTATTTATGTATTGTACTTAAATAAATAAAGTTAAATGAAATTAAATGAGGACAACAAGAAGTAACACAAATCGGGGTTTTTGCTGTCACTTCTTTCAATTTTTTTTATTTAGGAGATAGGCCTACTATTTTTGTATAAAATGTATAATTATATTATCTTAATATTATACATTATATTTTGTAGTATAATTGGTCCAAACGACTTCTGCGATCGCGGCAAAAAAATGAACGATATTGTCCTCGGTGAAGACGAAATCGTGTTTGCAGGGTCGTGATCTCCGTCTCCCGCGGTCGTGTGGGTTATCTCCGAGACAGAGGATAAATCGTGCCTATGTTTAAGGTGAAATAGTGAACATCTTTTGCGGACGCAGGGATGTACTCTACATGCCCAAGTCGTTAACATCTCCCGCGAACGCGCAGACAACATTATCGTCCCCCACGATCGCGGCAAAATCGTGAACACGGAACATCTTTTGCGGTTGCGAGACCTTATTATCGTCATCCGAGGATCGCAATCCCTGGGAGTCGTGATTTTCGATCGCGCGACCTTTGCAGACGCTTGCGGCAATTGTGAGAACAGATTGTTATTTTCTAACAAAATTTATTTTCGAAGAGAAAATAAGTTTTTTGAGAACTAAGTGAGGCCCCTTCCTAGGCCGATGAGAGGCCCTCGGCAATCGCCGCACCGTGTCCGCCGTTGGGGGAATACGGCCCTGATTTGGGGGCCTATGTTGGTGTGGGGCCTGGGGCGGACCGCCCCCTCCGCCCCCCCCCCCCCCGTCGGTACGCCACTGAAGTGTACATGGATAGAATGACATAAAATTCCTATTAATCATTTTATTCATAGGGATTTTTATAAATTTATACATAGTTACCTGTTTTCTCATTAGTTGGGCTACTCTGTTACTACTATTTTTTCATGTTTGCCCTATTGTTATGGTCAGTTAATAAGAAAAACATGTTTGGTAGAATGTTTCGGTAAGAATAGCAAAATATTATATAGGACTATAATATTTTAGCCTGCTATGAAGTGCAACTGACAAAGAATGCACCTGAGCAAAAAAAATGTTGCAAATGTTTAAGACCATACTCCGAACTCTCTTCAGCTTTGCACACTTTTCTACGTCCAAACACTTTACTATGTTCACATCCATCAACTGGTAATGGTCTTCAATAGCGGTTGACTTGAGACCCCAGAAATCTATGATAGAACAGGATTAATTCTCGGTGGTAGCGTCTTCCAAACGTCTCCACAATATCTTCAAATACTAGATACAAAATAGGTTAGAATAGATGAAGTAGGCCTAAGTATGGATAAAACCACCAATGGAAGCACCATAGAGACGTACAAACATTCCTCATCAATAAATATATTTTATTATCAAAATTTGTGTTTTTCTTTTCAGAGTAAAGATGGCTGTCAACACAATCCTCTTGGATTTGACAGTTGACCCTCAAAAAATTGTGGAGAAAAATGGCCTCAAGTCCGCAGTCCAGGATGTTTTATCAAAGTTCATCCCGGAGCTGAAGGAGGTTTACACCAGTGACTTTCAAGGCGGAGGAACCTTGTATACTTTCACAGCTGTGAGAGATTCTTTCATAACTGTCAGAGCTTTTACCAAGGGTGTCATATCTATCAACATTGAATATTACCGGGAAGACAGTGATGAACCCCTTTTATCGTTTGAGGTAAAATTACATACTTAATTCTATATTTATTTAACAACCGGTAGCCTAATTTGGGTAGGGATTTTATCTAAGTTTGGTAATGCCGTAATTCTATAGGCTTTGCTCAAAACAATGTCTAAAATGGTTCCAGGCTATAACCTAGCGTCCTAGTTCATGAAAGTGGACAGCAAAAAAAATCGTTTAAAAACTAAAAACCATGAAGTTTACATTACCAGTACATAAGTTAATTTTTACTCGGCATTCAAACCATTGAATACAATATAACAATTGTCTTCTCTTAAACTTTACTCCTGTTGTTTTAGGCCGAAAATATTGCAATAATTAACTTTCTCCACTAACAACCCCTTGGCCAAATTAAAACAACACATTTAACATCATACTCCAGGAATAATTTTTGACGTCAATTTTCCAAAATCAATCCAAAAAGGTTGACGTTAGAGGGTAACACAACCAGGGTTTGGCCTGTTTCTGACTAAATAAATGTTAAATAATAGCTATAGGGAAATCCGCTAAAATGTGCCATAGGCTATAAAATAAAATAAATATACCCAAATTTCAACCAAATAGAAAACAAAATTTCATGTTTATTGTATCACCAGTAGAGTACCCGTCCTTCGTACGGGGTTGGCGTATAAGTATAAAATTATTATTGCAGCTATACTTGTGCTTTGCGTTTGCAATGGGAGAGGACACCTTTAAGAAAATTTGGTTGTTTTAATTTACGGTATACTATAGTATAGCACATCTGCCATAGCTATAATGTTCTACCACTGCACCTAAACAATAGAAAAAAGTAAATTTCTCAAAGTGTACCACAGTTTTTTGTTGCTGCTTGCTTCAAATTAGCTGTTGTCATAAATTCAACAAAATTAATAGTGCTGCACCCTGTTGGTAAACTTTATAACTTCATAATGCTATTAAATATCATAGAACCAACTTGTGTAGTTGAAAAAGCTGACTAAGTCATTTAATTCCTTTTAAATATGAATACAGTACTCATAAGGTTAACATGGGAAACTTCAGAGCCACTGGGGCGTGATTTAACTTCAAACAAACAAACAAATAAACAAACAAACAAACACACCAACTTTCACATTTATAATATTAGTATGATTTTGATAATTAATAATTTGTTGTAGGCTAACTGAATATATTAGTTAGTTTATGAACACTCATACAGTAATATATAATTTGAAATATAACCTAAAATTGATGCCAAAGAACCAACACCAGCTATGTTGTATGGTACAGAAGTCGCGAAGTTTGGACGTACAGCTGAGATTTGCCCTCTCAGCGACTCGCAGCAAATTGTTCCCTCCGATACGAAGGGGTGCAAGGTTCGATGTATACCTCAATTCTTCAGGTACCCTGCTTAAACATTCGTCCAGCATGGTTCATTATCACCACTTGCATGGTTATTTCGGTCATTCATTATTTGGACTGTAATGTAGTGAAATTCATTTCCCACTTTTTATCATTTCATAGGCCTAATTTAATAAAAATCTTTTAGATTTTACACCTGATTTTTTAATATTGACTTGAAATCAGAAACATTTTTGGGTCATCGAAACACCCAATTGGAAAATTACTTGGGCCTGTCGAGATTGGACAACGTGACATCTTTGTATATTCACCATCTTGCAAATGTTTACAGTTAAATTTATATATACAAAATTTGTAGGAAGATATATTTTGTTAATTGTTATTTGGTAATAGTATTAGATAATACTAATACAGACCAAACAATCATATTTTTAATGAGAATCTTAGTTCTTGGTCACATCATTAACTTTCGATGTACTATAGAAGACTTCCCGTCTCTATATGGGATTAGTCGTAGACCTAGCAATGTTTTTAAATTAAAAAGAAGATAGTTGGTTGAGTCTCTAATAAAGTGTGCTATTGCCTAAAATTGTGTTTTCTCTCTTAGTCTTTGTTGACTGTAATAGAGGATGTGATATTAAAGATACTATAGCTTGCAATAAGCCGTCCTTTCAGTTTAGTTAGGTGAAAAAGTTTGCTTATTCTACAGAAATCAGTTATTTACAACAGCAATTAGGCACTCTGTGGGTATGTCATTTTCATTTTTTAATTGGCTAAAAAATTAATATGGAATGCGATTTCCAGTTTGTTACATAGTCAAAGGTCACAGGGTGGCTAGTGACCTGGAAAACCTGGAAATGTCAGGGAAAAGTCTGGAAAAGTCATGGAAAAGTCAGGGAATTTTGTCATAAGTCAGGGAAAATTGTAAAATGTTTAACATAATTTTAATAATTGTTAGGAAAGGTTGAGAGTATGTGTGCGGTGTGGGTGAAAACTAAGAAGTATGTCTCTACAAATAAATGTTGTGTTTTTGTACAAATTAAATTTTATTATAAACTGTGTATCATCTTAACTCAGTTTAATTTTATTAAGGTAAGTTGCAAAGTTTAAATATAAGCTAGCCTGTATCTATAGATTTTATGCATGTTTTTCATGTAAACAAACATAAGATATTCTTCAGATAAAGATTAGTCCTTTTGAAGAATTAGTTAGGTAGTATTAAAATTGTAACTTTGAATTTGTTGATCAGGGAAAGTTTAAAAAATCATGGAATTGTCAGGGAAAAGTCAGGGAATTTTTCAATGTGATTTTACTAGCCACCCTGGGTCACAACTATACCTAAAATGTGTTAAACGATCAAATTTTGTCAATAATTTACATTAAACTGTTTTTTATATAGACTAGAGGACCCATGCTGCTCCGCAGCGTTAAACTAAAAATATAATATCCAAGAACTAATCAAATTTATGAGTTTTGATGAGTAATACAGTATCTTGATACTGATTCAAACGATCAATAGCTCAATTTAAAGCCTATAAATACAGTACTGATTATTTTGAGTCTAAAACATACATGAACAATATAGAAGCCATTGATTTTTAGTCATAGAAAACCCTTACGAAAAAATGTTTATGTTAGTTTTTCTCCTTGCGTTTGCTTGAAACTCGTCCGATTTGAATAACTAATACAGTAGATTAATGAATGCAGGTATTTCACTGATGTTCCTTAGACCAAAATAACTGGTTAAACACATCCTAAATTGAAGTAAGAATTTGAAAATGAATCAAATGATTTTTTCGGTCAAATAATACAGTAGGTAAATATATGCCAATGCATTTACTTGGATGGCCGATGCTTGATGTGAAATCATTGCGTGTATGCCTTCAATTTAAGACCTGAATCATGAAAATCGGTTGGATAGAAGAGCCAAACGCACTCGGAAAAGAGAAACCAAATTTAACTCCCATAAGAAATACATCGGGAGAAAATTTTGTTGACGTATAAGCCAAGTGGGGTTAAAGATAAATATATGCCCATGGTTGATGGCAAATCTTTGTGTGCATACCTTCAATTTGAGACCTCAATCATGAAAATCGGTCGGGTAGAAGAGCCAAACGAACTCGGCAAAGAGAAACCAAATTTAAGTTCCATAAGAAATACATGGGGAGCAAATTTTGTTTACATATACACCGAGTGGGATTATAGATACATTTATGCCGATGCTTGATGGCAAATCTGTACTTGCATACCTTCAATTCGAGACCTCAATCATGAAAATCGGATATAAACAAACTAAAATAAAAATGGGGTTAAAAATGGAAGTATTCCGCAACGCAATTGGAAAAGTATCTTATGCGTACATCCCTTGTGGCACATCCGGTCCAACAACTGGATATTCTCCATCTACATCTTCATCATGAAGAGATAGCTTACCACACACTAACAAGTTGGACTGAGGTGAGTGAACGTTACATTATAAGTTTAGTGAAGGGCTTCAAAAACTCTGACAGCCAAGATGTAAATGGTATATCCTGTTCTATACTTAAAGGTATTATACATCTGATATGTACACCGCTAACTAAGCTAGTTAACTTGTGCTTACTAAAGGGGTCCTTTCCAGATGTCCTAAAAGTTGCTAGGACCATTCTTTAAAGACCATAATCTTTAAAAAGGGAGATCCCTCAGAACCGTCTAACTACCGCCCCATATCTATCTTGCCGGTGTTCTCTAAGGTACTTGAGACTGATGAAGAGGCAGCTAATTAAATATTTTGAAGGTAACAACTTGCTTTCGGATGCCCAGCACGGATTCCGAAGTGGGCGCTCAACTACTACAGCCCTAATGAATCTGACTGACCTCATCTCAGATGCCTTTGAGTGCAATGACTCAGTCATGCTGAGGTTATGCGATCTGAGTAAGGCGTTCGATGTTGTTTCCCACAACATTTTTTTAGGGAAACTGAAAAAATATGGTATTGGTGGTACAGTGTTGTGCTCTTTGCAGAATTATTTAGAAAATCGTAGGCAATTGGTATCAGTGAACGGAGTGTCCTCAAAAGTCCAGGTTGTTCCCCATGGCGTTCCTCAAGGTTCGGTGTTAGGCCCTCTACTGTTTAGCATCATGATAAACGACCTTTGGCTAAACGGCTGCACCCTCCTCTTTGCAGACGACACCACTCTGGTGACTAGAGGGAAAGACATTAACCTGTTGAGGGATACAGCGGACGAGTTTTTTGTTGAGGCTAAGTCCTGGTTTGTTGCAAATCGCTTCAAAATAAATGAAGAAAAGACGCAATCTTTGATGTGCACCCTCAAGTCGAGGACTGATCATGAGGAAGCTGTGAAGTTGCTTGGGTTTTGGCTGGACTCTAGGCTAAACTGGTCTAACCACATTGATAAGATATGCGTAAGGTTATCCAGAGTTCTCTATCTGCTAAGGAAACTCCGAGATGAAATCACTAAGACCTATCTGGTAACCATATACCATGCCTTATTTCATAGCCATTTGATGTACGGAATAGTGCTCTGGGGACACTCCCCTGCATGCCATGAAATACTTCTGCTACAAAAAAAAGCTGTGAGGGTGATAACATCTAAAGGCCCAAGAGAACATTGCCGATCCATCTTCAAAGAATTGGGAATCCTCACAGTGGTGAGCCAGTATGTACTTAATAGTCT